CGCCGCAGGTCGGGGAAACGCCGCGGGAGGAGGGCGCGCAGGGCCAGCAGGCCGCTGCCGAGCAGCCTGGCTTTACCCCGAGTTCAGGGGGAAAAAAAAGCATGTTTTCGTTAGTGAACGTTTTGGGTGGAAAAGCCCTTTTTCTCCAGTCACTGCCCTTAGACCGGGCGCCCTTGGGGGTTGTGTCTGGCCCTGAGGGCAACGCTTCAGCGGTGTGCGAGGTGCGCTTCACCCCAGCAGAGGAGCCTGCGCTTGGGTTTTGTTGAAGAGAAATGGATGGTGAAAACTGTGTTTGTAATCCTATGTAAGAGTCGTGGATTTAAGGCGATATTTGAAACGCGCTTTAAAAGCGGTAGCAGCTAAACGGAGCAGCCTCGTCCGTTCCTCAGTGATGTAACGGAGCCGCTGTTTGCTTCTCAGGAGACTATCTGGTAACGATTGAAGAGAAAAACAAAGCAACTTTCCTAAGAGCGTACACAAACTGGCGATGCATGTCAGCCGGCAGCTCTCGTGTCTGCGTCCGGATGGTGGGTCACAAGATGGAAGAGTCGTACGGTGAAACCTTAAAAGAACAGATGGCAATTGTGGAAATGCCACTTTCCGATCCTCCGCTGTGTGTTTCCTGTTGTCCTGTAGATGGAAATCTTCTTGTGGGCTGCAAAAATAAACTAGTTATGTTCTGTTTGAAATATGTGGTCGTAAACCAGAATTTGACTGTATTGGACTTCGAACGCTCCTTAATTTTACACGTTGATAATGTAATTCCTGCCGAAGTTGCATTTTGTGCCAGACATATAGCCATAACAACGGAGCTGGATGTTCTGATCCTGAAACTGGAACTGGCCCAACAAGGTGCGGACAACAGCGGGCAACGTGCGCGTCGCGTTACTGCGCTGGAAGAACCTGTGGATACAGGTAAGTACAGAAACTTATTTTATTTTTCCTCTGCTAGAGTCTGTTAACTGATTGCTGTTACTGTCAAAGTAGCCCCATCGAGATTGTTGCCCCTCAAAAAGTATTTCCAGAGCGTCTTAGGACTGTCAGCGTGAATAGTTCAGTGCATGAAAAGTGTTGTACTACCTGTAGTTAGAGATGACCCCTAAAACAAATACACCGTCACTCGGCAGACGCTTTCAGGATGGTGGTGCAACCCCTGCAGCCACAGGATCTAATCTCCCCTTTGGGATGCCATCAGAGGCCGCCTCTGAGCGGTAGCGGTTCTGTGTGCTTCGTTCAGAAAAACTCCTCCGTCAGTATCACTGCTCAGATAACTGTGTCTCTTACAAGGGAGAAGTGGGAGGGCAAGAGAAAGAAGCATCTCGTGACCCGCAAAGCAGACCGTGCTTGCTGGTTTACAAGTTTAAGAGTGCTTTTATGGCAATGCACGTGCGCTTTCGTGACTGTTTGTGGGGTCAGAACCTGGGCAAGGAGGCAGTCCGCAAACGCCCCTTTTCAGTCCTTTTTGCCTTCTTCAGGGGTTTGTCACAGAGTCTTAAAAAACCCGGAAATAGATTTACTTAGTAGGTTATATTCCCCCATATTGCAAGCAACCCATTCCTATATAATCATCTCATGTCTTTCTAAAAATATCAAATAAACACCTACAAACTTCAGAAAAATCCTTCATTTGTAACTGAAGAAACTTAACAGAAAAAGATGTTCTTTTAGAAGTGGAAACTGTACCGAGAGAAAATTCAGTGGTAAAAAAAGGCTTTCCAGATAAAGAAAATTCCAGTTTGCATCTTGCCTATTGACTGAAGATGGATCTTAACTCAGAGAATAGCAACATGCTGCTGGTTATTTTAATAACTTAAATTACTTAAAATGAATTATTGTTAGGATTTGCTTTCTGGAACATAAGTGAGTTTAAGATGACACAACGTTCTGTCATAGCTGCCTTTTCCATCTTAAAACCTTTCTGATCATCCACAGCATTTTTTTATTTGACACCTTGCCATACAGAGCACAGATCATCTCAGACTTACCTTATATTGAACAGTTCATCTGTTCTTTCATAAATCTTGACTTTTAGGTATTAGGACAGTTGAAGCTCTTAAATGAAAGACTGCTCTTGTCTTCAGGCACAGCTCTTTTCCAATCTCAAGGGTTTGAGTGAGCCACTGCTAATTAGGTAGCTTCACTTGGAGTAATTAATTGTGTCACCTCATTTTCTTATTGGAACTGGTTTGAACAATTAATATGGCGTTTTCACTGTTAAGGTATAAAAGATGAAGGCCCTTTGCAGCTTGAATCGGATGAGTTTGTCATTTGTCAGAAGCCAGTGGAACTGCTTGGGGAAGAAAGTAAGCTATGCGAGATACCCATCACGCTGGAATCAACAGGATTAGCTACAGAAGGTACAGAGTACTTCCAAGTGCGGTATCTGCTTTTCAGGTATTAAAAAAATGCATTTTCCCTTTTCTGGGGTGTATATACATGTATGTTAATGCTTCTAAGAAGCCAAAATGATCTGGTGCTCGCATCTTTTTTGAAAGCATGGTCCTGATATTTTGACTTGGGGGCTATTTATAAAGGGTATTGCGCTAAATAAATACTGTGATGCCAAAAGAAGACCCATTTTTGGCCTTGCATGTCCTAAGCTTCATTGTGTTTGGGGAACGTGCCCAGTTGTTCCCCTTGAAATGGAATTGAGCGTTAATAGTTTTGCAGTTCTCGTGACGTTTAAACAGTATCTGCTTTCCATCTGACCTCCTTGTATCCTGCAAAGAACATGCATGGCAGCTTCTCTTGTGATGTATCAGAAGGAGTTGTCTTTTCCTCAGCGTAATTTCTCTGCTTTCTTGCTGAACCCACAAAACCAAATCTTACACGTTATTCTGAAGCGGCTTTGTGTCAAATTGTGTTATTGCTTAGAGAAGCCTGCTTTAAAGGATAACACACAAGACAATCAGCAGTCTTGGCAGCTATTTTCTGCTGTTGATGCTGTGTGGTTGTAATCAAGGTACTGCCAACTAAACTTCTGTTTTATTCATGCTGTAGCTTTCATCAGCTTCAGCTGAAGTGACACTTATTCAAGTAACTCTAAAAAATATATTCTCTCTTTGTCCAGCTGGAAAAGAGAGTTTACCAAGTATCTTAAGCACTAAGAAACTACACTTTTCTGATAGTATCAAAACCATTCAACGTTTAGCCAAAGCTGAGGGATAATCGATGTCACAGTCCAGTGCTGAATTCCAAAGCAAAACAGGAAAAAGGAGGATGCGTTCAGTAATCATCGGCAAGAAACGCAGGACTGAAGCTGGGCTATGTTATGTATGGCTGAATAAAAAGAGAAGAAAAAAACAGGTTCAAGCCGATGGCAGCTTGTCTTCCAGTGATCTCAGCTTTGACATGCAGTGATCTTGAAGGCAAGCAAAGAGGATTTTTGATTGCAGGAACTTGAGGTAGTTGTCTCGAGGTGTGCTCGTGCTTGTTGGCATTGCCATGCTAATTACCTTAACAGCAGGCAGAGTGCCCAGTGACGTGAAACGTTAAAACTTTAGCTATGGCTGTTATTGCTGTTTACTTCTCCAAGGTAGCTGGGAATGGTTTCTCCCATGCTGTTGTTTTGGCTTTTTCCTTCTAGACGGTTTACACCTGACCAGTCGCCTTTTGGCTTTTGCGAAGAGACGAAGTTGCACTCTCTTCAGCTGCTTCCTGTATACCAGACAGGTAGATGCTTGTTCGTGGATGCAGTATGGTTTGTGTCCCAGGAGACCTGGGAAAGGGAATATATATACTAAGGGAATATATGTGTGTACTAAGCACTTTTGTACGCTGTTCCTGTCAGAATATTTTTTATTAAGGTCTCTTTCCTCCCTTTTCAGTGATTTAAGATTTTTTTTTTTTTTGTTAATGGAAGCTCAGTTTAAAGTTTCTCTGAGTTCTGTAGAAACCTTGAACTAAAATGTCAGTTCCTCATACTAAAGAGGAAGTCTAAATCAGCTTTTATCAGTTCTATACTCATTACTTTTACATCACAAAATGGCTACTTTTTAACATCGCATAAATTTATTTATCCTCAATGTTATTGCAAGGTGCTAGGCTGCCTCTCGTTAGAGTTAACATTGGAAGTCAGAGTAGTAAACCTTAGTAATCGTTAAGATACAGGTTACCTGTTTGCTAGGCTTTAATTAAAAACAGAAAGGGATAGATTCAGATTTTAGGAGTTACTAATACGCGCTAACTTAAGCCCCAACAGAAACATCAAAAAGCTATTAAGCTATTGCCTTTACCGACTGCTCGGTTAGTTTGTGGTTTTACCTGTTCTGTTAAGTAGCAAACCCTCACCCAAGTTGCAGCTGACCCAACAGAATGAGCTACTTGCCATTCAGCTCCAGGCAACTCCTGTTCTCTTGTGATTTACAGTCTTCAGCAAGAGAGTCTGTAGAATCTGGACACAGATCTTAGACAAGGAGTTGTCTAAGATCAACGTTACCATTTTGTCTATGGGCAGGCAGTTGTGACTAGTCTGCCTGGACTCCTACGTGCTGTTACACCTACAGAATTTCTGCGCTCAGTGACACGTCTGCTCTTTTGTTAGAAATGCCTCCAAATGAGATTATGTATGATGTGCAAATTTAATGTATTTCAGACCTGAACACGGATGCTTGTATAGTTCTTTTTCTCTTCTGTAGCTACTAACAAAACCGATCTGGAGCTCCGTGCCCGTCTGTTCATCTTTTAGGCGTTAGGCTTACAGAGGAATTGGAAGGTTTTGATCTGTCAGATATATATAAAATGCCTTTCTTATTGTTGCATCCAGGAAGTTCTGTGACAGCCCTTGGAGAAACTGAGAACAAGAGAGAGCTGCTGAGTCTCTTTTGCTTTTTCTCTTTACCTCATGTTGGATATCTCTACTCTGTTGGGAAGTCAGTAGAGCTGATCTCTACTTACAAATACTCAGAGAAGTCAGAGCAGGCAGTTCTCACTCCACAATTCCTGCATGTCATTACGAGGTATTATGTTTATGATTTTGCTAATAGTATCACTACCTTTCTATCTGCTTTTTTCCATTGTCTCTAAATGTCCTTTATAGCCTCTCCGGGAACCTCTGGGTAGGTTTCTGGGACAGTGCAGCATGCTTTCCTGCCTCAAGGCCCGTTTAAGGAAAAATACACGATTCTTTGTACTCTTTGCTAGTCAGTTACTGCCAATCTTCTTTTTTATTTTTTTGTAATCACTGTAGTTTCTTCTTTGCCTTTAGTGAGAGCCTACAGTGTTTCACAGTGCGGTGCAGTGCAGCAGCAGCTCGTGATGAGGATCCGTACATTGATACGACTGTGAAGGTGCACGCTTTGTTATCTTGTACCTGATGAGGAAGTTAAAAGAATGCCAACAGTAGTATGGCACTTAGTTTCCTTGTGCTTCCTTCTGAAATCCTGTTGGTTTCTATTGGTTGAAACAATAGAATAACGTCCATAATTACTATTTGGCTTTAATTTATGACATAACATATGCTAACGGTCTACAAATACATTAGCGGAACACAATCTGCTGTTGCTGTTTAAGATCCTAAAACATTAGTAGAATGTTTTCAAATACATTAAAAGCTATAAAAGCACATAAACTTTAGGCCAAATTCCATGCTTTCCTGTATAGATTGGAATGAAGGGTGCTGATGGTGTTTGAAAAGCCTACTCTTCTACACGTCTTGAAACCTACGTGGTGGTGGTGGTGGTGTTTTTTTCCCGTTCAGGTGTCCTTGAAATGTGAGTTTTTGTAAGAGGAGCATAGACCTCTGAACAGGTCTGTTTGGCAAATGTTTAGGGCATTTTTTTAAGGTGGGGGGCTTTTATCGTTTGGAAGTCTGGACTTTCCCCCTTCCTCACATTGCTTATCAGTAATAATCTGTTGAATTATTAAGTAAAAACATAAAGACTGAAAGATAGCCTGAAATGTATTTTAACCTAGTATGTAAGGATTTCCTTTGGACACATAGACAGTGGACATAAAACCATAGCACAGTAGGGGTATTATAAAATTTTCCGACAAGAAACACGTATTCTCTGCCCTCCATGGAAACTGGGCATACGAGAGAGACAGGACTGTAATTAAGAGGTTGCTGCAGGCAAAATTTTATTTTGACGTATATTCTTGCCAACTAAGACAAACCCCCGATCATCGGTTCAGGCACTGAGATGAAGAATACAGGCACCTACGTCAAGCCTCTGTTTTGCCCCTTCTGCAGTCTCGGCTCTCCGTGTTTTCGCTGTGGGTTACGGTCAGTCCGTCAGCTTTCCTCCAGCGAGGCGAGGGCCAGCACGCGAGGCTGAGGGGTGCACAACGGCTTTCGGCCGCCCTGCACGTCTCACTTCTTTCCGCCACCCTGGGGTTAATGGTTTCTCCTCTCTTCCCTAGTGTCGCCGCTTGGGTGCGGGTGGCCTGCAGGCCCCCTCCTCTCGGGGGGGCCCCTGCTGCCCGGGCCCGCTCCCCGCCGCCGGGTGGCCCCCCTGGGGGTGTCACTGCCCTGCGGTGGAGTTTGGCATGCAAAAGCATTTCTTCCTGCTGCTTTTTAGACCGGTTTCGGAGCTGGCTGGAGCCGATTCTGGCTGGCCCGGGCCAGCGTACGGCCTCCTTCCGCACCAGTCACCGCCGCGGTCCCCTGCCCCTGCAAGGGTAACTTCTGCGGGGTGCAGGGGTGTGAATACAGAGTCTGCAAAAAATTGTGAGCTTTCTTGAAAAAGTAGGGTATGTTACTTTAGAAATATGGTATTTTATCCTCTTAAAGCTAGACATTCGGAATGTTTTGGATAAATAAGGTTGCCTTTTTACACTTTCAGTTCAGCTGGGGGGATACGGTAAGTCTTGGCCGAGAAGCGCATGTCGAACAAATCGAGGGTGAAATACAGAAAACCTAACAATAGGCAAGGAAATATATTTCTGTCTGTGATTACTTAATAGGTTATAAGCAACTGAAATTGGGACTTTTATAACTATGTTAGGCAATCTTTTACAACTTGGTGAAATTCAAACCATTTGGGTTTAAGCATTCCATGTTACCTACCAAACTTAGGCTCCATTATTTTGAGACACAGCTAGAACTGCAGTTGCTGAATGAAATGATGTTTTTTACCTGTTGTTAAAGGACTTACTGCGATAGTAGTATGAGTATTTTTTATTCTTGCTTAAGTGAAGCAAGAAACTCAACTCAAAGTTGGGGAAACCCAGTGAACGTTTCTGTGTCATGTTATTGGACATAAAACTACTTTTTTTTTTTCTTCGTATATCTTTTGTTTTAAAGACTCAAAGTACACACTAACTGGAATTACAGAACAGTCACTTCCCTTTGTAGGCTTGTCCACCTGTGTCACTGGATGTCTGCACATTAAGAATGCAGCTTTTTATAGGACCGAGAGCTATCTGTCATTTCAAAAACCATGTAATCCTTCTGATTAAGGCCGACACAGAAGATATTACTGAAAGAAGAAAAGCTACAAGAAGGATGCTGTAAGGATTTGTGTCTTTTGGGGGAGATGGGATTTAATTTATATCTGTATGTTCAGTGTTGAATTTGTGGGTGTTGGAGTTGAAGGGAGGATCCTCTGTGAAAAGATTGTTTTGCAAATAGCTCCCCGGCTAGTGGGTAAGAGCAGAGGTGGAACATTGTTTCTTTTTTTTTTGTTTTTGTTTTGAGTGGATGAGAACAGAAATCAAGCATTTAACTTTGAATTCTGCTACATTAAACGACATGGGAGAAACGAGGAAGGAGTCACAAATGGATGAAATCAATCTAATAAATTACTCAGAATATTTAAAAGCTGTAACTTTCATGAGTAACGTTAAAATAACATTGCTAAGAAGAGATCTGTTATTCAGAAGGCAAAAAATACTTGTCTAGAGAAAGAAAAATGTATGAGTACTGAAGATACAGGCCAGCAAAATGTGTTGTGGCACAAAATGAAGCCACGCTTTCTTCTACTGCTTGTATTTCTTCAAAGCTCATGGTTGGCGTTTGAGGAAGATAAGTTTTTTGCCTCTTGTAAAGATAATCGGTTGAACAAGTGCTACTCTACTTAATGCCATTACTTTTAAAAAGATGCAAATATTCCAGAACAGGAAAAAATGAAACAGGAGGAGTCTGTCATTTCCTACAGCGTTTTAACCTTAGGGCATTAAAGACCGAAATGACGTGTTAGAGTAAAAACATTCAAGTACTTTCTTGCACCATGTCATGCATGGTAAACACTTTAACAGAGCTGCGGGGGTAAAACTACAGTATACATCTTAGCTAATTTGAATTATTCAGCCTCGTGAAGTATCTTCTACTACCTGATATTAAAACCCAGGCGAAGATGTACTTGATGGTTCCTAACCATGTTGTCTCTGGTTTATGCGCGTGCCCGTCCCTTGAGTTGTTAAACATTATGATTTAATTCACAACTTAACTCTCGAGCATTTATTACCCTTCAAACATATTTATGCATTTAAACTGTGAAGTGATGGCTTGTTTTTTGACTGCATAACGTTTATTTGGACACTGAAAACTCATCTCTTCTTTCTCTCTAGTTCCAGAAAGGCTGACAGCATCAAATCCAGAAAAACTCCCGATTCAGAATCTGGTTGGAATTTATACATTGTAAACACTGTTCCAACTGTCCAGCTTTACAGAGAAATGGTATTGTCCAACGCTTGCTTTTTTTTGTTTGCTGACTAAAAATAAGTATTGTAAATTAATCTCTCATGCATCTTATCACTGAATATACTGTAATGTACTTTTCATGAGTAGTGCACAGTGCTATTTCAAATGGCTGCTTGCTGCCCTCTCTAGATTTATTCTTGTCTGGTTTTTTTTGTTTGTTTTGTTTTTTGCCAAAGACCCCAATCTATGCTATGTCTGTTCTAGGTGGATTATAGCAGAACATATGAAAATGTAAAAACTGAGAGTTGCATCCATCTTCTAAGTGAAGCTCACTTACTGGTCAGAGCAGCTATAATGGACCCCAGTTTCCTTAAACCAGATGAGAAAGAAGAACTTCTAACAGCATTTAGAGAAAGTTGTGCTTTCCTAGGAGACTGCTACAGCAGGTATGTTTTGGATGTCCCAAGTGATATAGGTGAACTTTTGTTTCCGATAACGTGACCTTAACAATTAAAAAACATAATTCTTTGCTATTTTATATTAGCATTGCATATACAATATAAATCCTTACATTCTACCCAAACAGCTTAATCTGATCTTCTGTTCGCTATCTGGTTGTCTAGATATTTGCAGGTACTGCTGTGCCTGCAGTTTTGACTGATGTATTATTTTAGTTCTTAAAAACTGCGGTGGCAAAGGTGTTGCCCTTAACGTTGTTTTTTTTTTTCCCCTTCTCCTTCCTCTCTATTGCTTTCAGGTTTGACACAAAGGATTACCACCTTGCTTTGCCTTACTACAGAATGTCTGGTTTATCCCTGACGGAAGTTTTAGAGAGACTAGTTTCAGAAGATGACGAAACACACAAATACGAGCGAGGGTTTCTGTTTTACTTAGCTCACTCTCTTAATGAAGATTTAAATGAAGAATTAAGTCAGGTAGAAAAAAGAAGCTGTTTTTTTTTTTTTCTTAATCTACTGGTTTAGTTCTAATTTTGAGGCTTGTGTGTCAAATGTAATTAAACTTCCTTTGAAAATGCTGAGCTGCATATTTAGTTTTACAGTTCTTTTTCACATGGTTTGTATTTCCTTTTTTATTTACAAAATAGCAAGCAGTTTCAGAAACTGTAAAAAGAAAGTTGTGATACTTCTAGCTGCTTTCAAGAAGCATATTGTCGGTTTTACTATCGTGATGTGTGTTGCTAATGATCGGGCTCCCAATTGCGCATAGAAATACTTCCATGCTAGGAAAGTTCTTTGTCAAATTTCTGTCATCCCCTATTTCTTTAAATCCTCATTTCCATAACAAGACAAACTGCTATTTTGAACACTGCCAAACCGTACGGATTGGTAAAACTGATTCACTGGGGTCGATGTTCTCCCAGCACCCCGGAGTATGGGCTGAGTCACGCTCAGGGAGAGTTCCTTTACTTTTACCAGGTAGGTAGGAGGGAGGAAAAGCACTGTGATTTGGTAGCTAAGCTGTGTGTCTCTGTTTTAAAAAATAAATAAATAAATAAATAAGTAAAAGTGCTATTGTCATATGCTGTGAAAAACTGTATATCTGGAAAGGCTGAAACTGTTGAATGGCTTTTATTTTAATAGGAATCAGCAACTAAAGTTCTCCAAATATTCTATCTTGCTGAACCTGTCCAACTGCCACATATCCTCTGCAGTCCCTGCATGAGGAACGTATGTCCTTTAACTGCCATGAAGTATCTTCAGAAGATAGAAAAGATTATGCCGTCAGTGGTCCTGACACTTACTAAGGCTTCCATGGCTCTGAAAATGGGAGACCTGACGTTGTATGAACGTGAGATGGAGTCCTATAAGGAGGTAAGATATGCTTAAAGCATGAGCTGTTCACCTTTTGTAAAGCCCAAGTAGGTGGGTTTGGCTTGCGTTGTATCTTACAGTAAGAGAACCTTGCAGTCGCTCTTCCTTTTCCTCCTGATACGCTGTGTAGTCTCCGCTGAATGGCTACAAGAGCAGACTTGGGCTTGAGGAGTGGCGTACGCTGGGACTGTACCATTTATCTTGCAGGAAGAGTAGTCTCACCCTGGCAAAACCTTCCCCAAGTGCGCAGAATTCTCAAAGCTATTAATTCTTGATGAACTAAATGCCGTTTCCTGGAGTGTAGCAGGCTCTGCAGAGCCAGTGTTCTTCACCAATATGGCAGGGTTGGAGAGTAGCATTCTTGCACCCCTCCACCTTTGATTTATATGCCCATGAAAACTTAAATGTTTGTATGCAAACAGCCCTTGTAAAATTGCTCATGGAGAACAACGTCCTTGGTGCACACAAGCCATAATTTCTATATCTAGTTGCCGTATACAATTTCCCATCTTTCTTCTGGCATTCAACCCTTGTAAAGACTGCATCAGAACATACTTCAGCGCTAACAAAGTAAGAATTCCACATCAATGGAGACAACGTTGTTAGTGAGGTGCTCTCTGCCATAGAGATGTTCCCATGTGGTTTTAGACTGAGCCTAGTCTGTAAGCTACTTTTTTTTAAGATTGATCAGGAGAGTTGAATATTCACAGGTTACAGAGCTTGAAACGTAGTCTTCTCCTGAGAGTGAGTTGTTGGCGTTTTAAGAACTTTTTTTTTAGTAAACTGATGGTGGTTCCAAAGTTAAGTATCAGTTTCAATAGGAGAAGCTCTGGGGAGCTTTCAGAGTTAGTAATGCTTGAATCGCAAGGCTGGGAACTGTGGAGTGCTGTATCAGCGATGGTTCTTAGCACCACCTGCTGTCTATTTATTTGCAGCAAGGTCAAGTGAAATGGCCATGTTGGGAGCAAACACGCACATTCCATCATAGTATGCGAGAGTGAAGAACTGAGAGAGCCTCTTGGAACATAAAGTGTCTGTGGGAGCAGGGGTCTTTTTCATCTGATCTGTTACAGAACTGCATGTTTGCAGATCATCTTTAAAAAGCTTTTTATTGCGAAGTTGAGGAAAATACCACTTTTCAGGAAAATAAGGAAAGGAAAGACAAGTTGCATGCATAGGGATCTAAAAATATGAATTCTGTTCCTAGATCTGCTTTGTATTTCCTGTGTAATTCACTTAATTTGCTTAGGCATTATCTCACACAGAATCACAGGATGGTTGAGGTTGGCAGGGACCTCTGGAGATCATCTAGTCCAACCCCCCTCTGCTCAAGCAGGGTCCTCTGGAGCACGTTTGCCCAGGATTGTGTGCAGGCGGCTTTTGAATATCTCCAGTGAAGGAGACTCCACAACCTCTGTGGGCAACCTGTGCCAGTGCTCTGTCATCCTCAGTCACCAGTGTCTTTAAAACAGACGTAGTATCTTGTCATGCTTACCCCTAAAAGCACTCAAAACTTTGGAAATTACTTAGTGTTGCACATCTTACAGCACATCTTGTCATTGTTTCAGAGGTGTTTTCAAATAAAAATCATATTTCAGCAAAGTAGTCCTATAGAAATTCCAGTCAGTGACTTTCAAAACATCTTGTGTGACTGGGATTTCATAATAAAATCTTTTTATGTGCACAGTAAGTTCAGATTTCAACAACCTGTTACTTCCAGCGTTCAGGCAAACGGCAGCCAGTGTTCCAGCGCACAGGTTAGAGGTGGGTCTCTGGAGAGCTGTCCTATAAATTGTAGAAAGAGAATTTATTTCCTTCCTCTGACTTTCCTATATAAACTTGATTATCTGAGAAAATACAGAGTTTGATGGATTGATTTGTATGTGGATTGAATTCTTCACCTGATTTATATCTGACTATGTCTGTAGACGATACTGGCGTTTGGCTTCACTGGGCAACCAAAACTCTTGAGGCAGCGTAAGGAAGGAGTTGTTATTCCGACTGAGTTCGCTGTTCATCTGAAGGAAACTCAGCCTGGGTTACTGGTGGCTGCCACCGTGACTTTATATGAGAACAGTAAAATTGAACTGGAAGAAGCAGATACCTTTTTCAAGGTTAGCCTATGATCATTTTTTACTTTTATTTTTCTCATAGTGATGTTAATACGGGTAAGCAAAGCAGCCCGAGTTGTTCTTCCCTCACATTCCAGGGTCTCTTTGGAAAGAGAGAGATGGAAGTTGGATATATTCCACTTTTGCTAGATGACTGTAGAGGACTGAAACTGGACCTTCCAGAAAGAAATTGGTTAAATAAAGAAAAAAAAATCATTGCATTCTTTATTTTGACTGTTATATGAACAAAGAATACCCTGATCTTGGAGATCTTTCAATGGCTTCCTAATGGTTTGGCGTCCGAAGGCCGCTGAAGCTTAACAGAATTTGGATAAATCATTTCCATAGACGCCTTTTGAAGAAATCATTAGGACTAAAACACACACCTTCATAAATATTTAAGTATGATTCTTTAGAAAGATAATGCTCTGCTCTTCAGTATAAGTTTCTGAAAGAAGAGTAGTGTCTCCGCAGTTTATGGAAAAATAGTTTTTATGGTCACTGAAGTTTTCTTTATTCAGAGTGGGAACAGACACACTTTTTTTCTGTTCTCTACAATGAATAATGTTGTTGGGATTAAAATGTGTATATATACTTCAGTACAGGTATATTATGGTCTTAGACCTGTTACTTTGAAAGACTTTTCTCAGAAATGTCAATTTATGAAACTCAAATTTGTTCTAATGTTGTTTAAGGCCAGTTGGAAGTCAATTAAATGTTAGAAATCCTTATGCCTGACACACCAGACGTTAAAGCCCAGAAGCGTCTTCCTTGTGGGTCTTGTCATTATCTCCAGCAGAGCTACGCAGCATTTCTCTATTGTGGCCTTTCCTTTCATTAAGACTTTTTGTTAGAAGGTGCCTGCTTAGCTGTTGATACATTTAAAAAACCTCCAACTTAGCAGGTCTGTAAATGCTTATTGACTGGATCATTTCTGACAGCGGAGTAAGTCTCCAAGAAGAAATCACATAAATAATTTGGAATTGCTTTCCTTAAAATCATTCCATAACCTTTTTACTTTGCCTATCACTATATTAGGTAACATCACACCCATTAGAAATGCATCAAGACAAAAAAGCAGTCACAATCCTGCCTCTGCTAACGAAGTGGAAAACTCTTACTCTGGTTCCTTCTAACTACCGCTACTAATAATTACCGTATTCTGTGCTAACTTGCTGTCTTCTAAAATTTTTGTTCTTAGACGTTGTGTAATAGCAGCGGAAGCGCAGTCCCTCAACTCTTAGTAGATTTTTGGGAAGCTCTTCTGGTCGTATGTTCTCAGGAAGAAGTACTTCAGGAACTCTTATTGAGGGTTACTTCCCAATATGTTTGGAGAATATCAAAGAGGCTACTTCCCGACACCAAACCCTTGAAAACAACAGAGGATCTGGTAAGTACACCTGTATGCTCAGAGAAGGTTTTAGGAGTGCATCGTCCAGCCAAAGTCCATTCAAATCCTGTCTTGAGTACTTTAATTCTGGACCGTTTATCACTTGAAAGAAGCAAGACTGAAAAAAAATAAGGTAGTGCGTACTTATCAAATAGATATTCCTGGTTCAGGTCAGACTTGCTGTTTGGGGGCATCTACAACTATACTTCCAACAGGAATTTCAGTTCTGGACAGGAATAAGGGCTTAAATGAAACAAAGGGAGTTTGTCAGCTGGCGCGTTTGCAATTTTATAAAGCTGACTAAATGGGAAAACCTGGGAGTGGATGATTGTAAAGTTTTCTGAATTGGAGATGTAGAATACAGAAGTAAATAGAAGTGACTTTTCAGTTTAGTCTTCGCTCAGTTGTATGAATCAAAAGAAAGAGCAGCTGTTCTTCTAAAGTATGCTGCTTGAGAATTAAATTTTCTTCTCTTGGAGTGGGTTTCACATGGAACTGTAATAGCAGAAAGATTTCTGATATTAAAACTTTTTTTTCTTTCTTGTATAGATAAATTCCTGTAATCATTTTGGGTTGATTTTCCCCTGGGTAACTTTCATAATGTCGTTGGGATCTCCATCTGATAAAGATTATCCTGAAGATATCTCGAAACTACAGGTATGAAACCTTTATAGCTTAGACCCGTTCTGCAAACGTTTATGCATGTAGGAACTTCTTTCTCTGGTGGGGGGAAAAAACCCACAAAACCTGTATTTTAGCACTTTAGTCTTGCCCAAGAAAAACTGCAGAGTTGAGGTCTTCATTTGTATCTATAGAACGCTCAACTCTGAAACTGTACTGCCATGTTTATCAAAACAAGATGTGATTAAAAAGCTGTTTCTAGGATAAGACTTCCGTTATCCAAGTTGAGCTAAAAGATGCGTTGAAATTATAGAAAGAAGAAAGCCCTCAAAGATGTGTCGGTAGCAATGATTTATACATTTGCAGTCTATTCCACGCTTAATTTCTCAGTTTTCAGTAATTGTTATTAAAGATAATATTATTTCAAAACTATTACAATAAGTGAAAGCTTTTGTTTTAAGATTGTGATCAGCTTTTTTTGCAAAGTTTGTCCTAAATCCAAACAATAGCTTTTCTTCTTGTCTTCAGTCTATTTTATGTAGTCAGTCAATCAACGTAACTTCAGCTCTGCCTTTCTTGGAGCCTCTGTCAGAGGATGGCAATGCTGGCCTCACCATCCATGTTCTCTGTAGTACGCGCCTAGGAAAGTATGAGGAGTCCCTTGACCTGCTTCTGAAAAGGTGTCCTGAGGCAGTTGTATTATATGCTCAGCACGAACTGAAAGATGACAATCGGGTGAGTTGCTTTTGTTAACCTCGTTCATTCCCCCCCCCACCCCCCCCACCCCCAAAACAGTGCTGTGTACGTGTGCACGCTAGGAGGGATCAAATAGCCCTGTTTTCAAAGTAAAAAGTGCTTAGCTCGTTTTGAACTTCTCACTTTGTACTGCAATTCTGTAGCTGAATCCCCACTAATTGTAATGGAATAGATTGTTTTTTTTTCACAATTCCTTCAGGAAACCGTGACTGCTTCTATTAATGTCAGTAAGTAATCTTTTCAGATGGCAGAGTGCCTCAGAAAAGGGAGAATAATGGGTTCCCCCCCCCCCCACTATAAATGAAAAAAGTCACGTTTCTCCCTAAACTAACCAGTGTTCTAAGTGATGTTTGACAGCGTTGCGTAAGTGTGTCAAATTTTAGCGATAAGCTGGGCAAAGCTGGTCTTTCAAACAAAACCACTTTTAAACGTGTTCTTCAAGCATTCTAGTGACATCTGCCCTTTCAACATCAGAATGGTACTGGTTAATTAGTAAGGAAGACTAAATTATGTTCTTTATGTCTCGCTTTCCCTGGAGGCCACTATGCAATTTTAATTGTGGAACTGATTTTGTTCCCGTGTTCCAAGAATACAGCGGTTTCCCTCCGTTGCCTGTCACAGCTACTCAATTAACTGTGTGCAGTTCTGCTGGCTAGACTCAGCAACGGTGATCCCCTGCCAACGGGAGATACCAGTACTTCATTCAAAACCACATTTCTGCTTTTGTTTTCAGATTTGAAAATGGTTTCTTTGACTGTTTCCATGTAAGTGGTATAGCGGAGTGTGAGGTTACAGTACTGAACCTGAAGACAGGTGGAAGGCAAGTGTTACACGTTTAGAAGAAAAGGAAAGAAATCTCTTCCCCCCTCTCCATTCTTACAGGAAAAAATGATACACACAATTAATTCACGACAACAACAACTGCTGGAAGCAGATTAGTTCAGGAGACAGAGCAGAGTTCGCATAGTAATGTTATTCAGCACTTTGCATTGAGCTGTTTGGAGGGGAAAAAGCTTAGTTTTCTTACTGCATTAGTCTGTTGCTAATAACATGCATTTATTTGCTGAACTACAAACACTCTATCTGTAGAGGCACTAGGGGGTACTGTTTAAATATTTGTTGAGTATAAAAGGATCACAGTGACATTTGAAACTACTGCATTTGCAAGAGTGCTTCATTTCAAATCATTATATAAACCAATTATTGAGTCCATCTTAACTGGCCTGTATTTGCCTGTATTTGGTTCTGTGTTCTTGTAGCAGCTGTTTCATGCTTTTAATTGCAGTCATTGATAGTTCACACTTTTACTGTGGGCTTTCTTTTGAATTAGGCCGTGTGGTGGAACAAGTTGCTTCCTGAACTTTGCAAGAGAACCAGACTTAGTGGAAATTACTGTCCTGTTCATATTTCATCACTGAAAGGTAAATCACGTGATGACAACAATTTGTATGGCATGCGGCAGTCTAAACGTCCTTCAGGCTAAGAACTATTGGTGTGATACTGTGGAAAGAAGGGGACCGTTTTCCATGGGTAAAGCTAATATAGCTCAGCAGGCTATCTAGTCAGTAGACTTCATATAACGATGGTGACATTCATATTACTTCTATACAGGTCATGAATAAAGACCAAAAAAAAGCTATCAGGCAGCAGTAATAGATAGTAATTGTTGGCTTTCCCTCGGTCAAGTGACTGTAGGGTTCTACGCAGTAGCTAACAGGCTGTTAGTAATCACCCGATGGAGTGTGTTCAAGTGGCTCTTCATGACTGGGTCATAGATTGAAAAACTGCAATGTGTTACTGGTAGTTGGTAATATTAAGCAGAAGGAAATATCTGTGTTCATTTTGGGGGTACTGCTGGCTCTTTGGTCAGTGGAAACAAAGAAGCAGAGAAACGAATCCTGAGAGCTGACATAGTCCCACTGTTAAGTGTTTGTAGGAAGCTAATAACATGGCGTAGCTGAGGGGTTGGTTTGTGTGTTTTTGACAGGATAAGACAACTGAATAAAATACAGGCATGTGTGCATAAAAACATAACAAGACTATCGCAGTCACACGGCCTGATGGCGGGAGAACGGCATCGCTGGGTTGCATGGCGTTGAACAGGCTGCCATACTATACCATAAAGTTCCAGTTTCTAGTGCCAGAGGTTTTTCTTTTGAACCATTATTTTCATGCAATAACTGTGCATTACTAAGCACTTCAGAACACGACGTTAAACAACGGCATCTCAGAAGCTGCTCACAGAACATCCCCTATCGCAAGTCATGCTGCGTTAGGGTACGCGCATAGTTTTCCAGTGCTTCCTTTCCATTTTATGCAAAACATTTGAAGTACCAGCTCAGAATTCTGTAAGCGTTAGTGCCGCGTGTAGACTTGATGAATAAAGATAGCGGTATGGTTTCTTTCTGAGATGTAATTCTGTTTGAATTGCTGTTTCACTTTTGAGATTTTCTCCACAGTAGTGTGTGGTCCCAAATGAGCCTGTCTCAAATTTGATTCCAGTTATAATATTTAGATAATCTGATGCCTTCAGTTAGTAATGACATTGTTAATGTTGGTTTTTTTTTCCTTTCTTAAATAGAATATCTTAAACAAGATTTTTTTTTTCCCCCCCTTGCTCTGGGCAGAAACTTTATCGGTGGTTGCAATGGAGCTGGAACTAAGGGATTTCCTCAATGTTCTGCCAGAGGATGGAACTGCAGCGTTTTTCCTGCCGCATCTTCTTCACTGCAGCCAAAGGAAACCGTTGACCTAAATCCAATGAAAGTCTGCTATGTGGTCAAATACCAAGAATGCACGGGAATAAAAAAGTAAAGGAAACAGTAGAACTACATAGAAAGCAGTGTAGGACTCGCCCTACACGTTAACCACCTTATGTCTGAGCTGAAGCCTTATTATTGGAACGATAACTGCTATGTCAGGCAGAGCAGCTCTCTTGAAGATGGCAGAAAAAAATACTATTACACATTGACAGAGGTCAGCTATCCAGAAGAATTCCTGTCAGGTAAAACTGAATGGTGGTTGGCCAGGTAAAAGCACAACTATTCAACACTGGATGTAGGTCACTCATCTCCTAAATGAGGATAAACTTATGGCCAAAGTGGGTAAAAAAAAAAAAAAAAATGCTGACTGTACAGTACAATTACACGTTTAGGGTACACTAAAGCAGGGGTCAGTCTTAATTCCCTGCTAGTTAGTTGGGTCATGATCTAGGGAGGCATATCTCTAATTGTATGAGTAAAAGTGCTTGACTTCCAACCAGAACTAGGCCCCTTACTTCTGCAAAATGAAGTCAGAACAGAAAACAGAACAGAAAAATTCCCTTGAATTCCAGCTGGCAAAACGAGTCAGCTGCTCTGTCATCATAGCTACGTACCCATATAAGTGTAACTTTGCCCCTCTTGTAATTTTTTTTGTAACAGAAAAATAAACATTGCGTGCCAGCACGATTGGTCTGCCACTTCCTCTCTTAGCTTCACTATCTTGAAAGATATTACTTGATAAAATTGTAATTCAACAGAAATATAGGATTATTTTGTTAGACGTTTATTATACAATCCTACATATGTATTAATTTTGAACCTATGGGGCAAGTGATAGCCAAATTCCCCTCCTGTAACAACTAATATCTGACTAGTAAAGTGTGACATCAGATCTGGGACAAATAGCTGAAAACGAATTTTGCTGCCACAAAGGTTTATTACAATTTAAAAAAAAAAAAAAAACATACGTTTCACTTGGCTCTTCCATATTATCCGCGTATATGCTTGTTCCTCAGCAGTTAAATAACACACATTAGGAATCACCTACAACGTGCTAAGTAGCTGGCAAGATACAATGTTTATTGAAGGAGAATGTTGTTTATAAGCTTATATCCTTAACAAGTGTTATATCCATGCACCTGTCTCAGTCTGTGGTCCTTTTGTTAGCAGCGGCCACCAAATGAAATATTCCAAAACCCACGTTGAAAGGGATCGTCCAGGAGACGGTGTTTCTGAAGAAATGCCTCACTGAAGATAGACCTCAGGGAATCACTGCGGTAAAACGGCTTCTTCGTTCTAGCGTGCCTCTTGTACTCCTCCACTTTAACTGATTGAATGATCTTAGGGGAAAAAAAGACGCTTTGTCTGCAAGGGGGAAAAACAGCTTTTGTTATACCCGTTTCATCAAGAGTTTGTCTATGCACGAGGACAACAGTCCAAACAATAGATCTCAGTACCTTTTACATGTTATGAGTTAGATTTAAAAAAAAAAAAAAAAAGCCTCAAAAATGCACTTACTACTACTGGATTGTCTATAGGTAGCTGATTATGACTAATGCAATGTACTGCTTCTCTGGGTAGGTAGAAGTCTATTTCTACATCTCTTTCAGTGTACTGTAAGTCAGCTCTTCTATTGCCTGCACAAGTTTGGCACAGCGTAGTCTTTAAATCAGAATGGTTTATAAAACAGTGTAGAACTGGATTGTGTTTAACGTGCTAATCCTTTTTTTTTTTTTTTTGTATTTTTACATATACATTTTATGTACCCTTTAAAACGCTCTTACTTCCCCCTTTCTGTCAATTAATACATGCCTATTATGCTGTATCCTTTTAATACAGGAAAGTGATGCTGTGAAAATTGTATTCACTTCATATTAAAAAAAGAACTGCAGTTTTTCAAGATTCAACGTACTGCGTAGGTAACATATTGCTAAAGCAAGGTAATAGTGCCTGTAAAGCTGAAATATCCTTTAAAAAGAAAGCAGGATTTTAATTTTCAGTACATTGGCTAGTGAGGATGATGACGTCAGCTTTAGTTACCTGTTCTTGGTTTTGTTTTTTTAAATAAAGATAGAGCTGGAGTTTAACTAGAGCTGGAGTAGAGAAATACTCTGGCTCATGAAGATATTTTTTTAAATGAAAACGTACCATTTTACTTTCATTGATTGGGAAGCTGAAGCACTTGTCAGTTAAGAGGCAGTCCTTTAGCTTTGTTTTCCGAGCAGTACACTGAGACAAGTACGGTGAGCTGATGTGCAGCATTCTGGCCTCCGTATTACTACATGTATCGGTATTGTACTGTGAAATACTGTTAGCGGCCTGAACTGGTTCTGCGTACCCTGGCATGACCGTGAGCCCCGTAGGGCATCTTTAAGCATAACGAACGTTACTGCGATAGCGAGGTTCCTACCTTCCTTTGGGAGCACTGTGTAGGTGGCTTCCATCCCCGCGTGGATGTGATCAGTAACGTGGCAGTGCAGCAGCCAGGTGCCAGGGTTCCTCGGCATCATTTCCACAGTTTGAAATGTTCCAGGGAACAGGTCAAACACATCTGCCCGGTAAACTCCTATTTGCTTCCGGATGAAAAGAAACAGCGGTTAAGCAGCGTGGCCTCTCCAGGTGGCGGTAACATATGCTAACTTAAATGCATATTCCTGCCAAACTTTCTGTTGCAACTGGATGCTCTATTGCATGTCATTTCGACAGGAACCTCATTTCATACATCCACTCACTAAAATTAGCAGCTAAATGGAAATGAAGGAATATTATAGTTGTTCTATGAAAATTCACCCCTAACGTGTCAGAGCAACTTGTCACGTTTCCGTACAATAAACCCTGGCAGATACTCGCTGACTCTCTTGCACATTGATCAAATACAAAATGCCATAAGGTCAGATGGCAAGACTGCTACCTAATATTTTAACATCTGACTTTTCACAAGAGGTTACACTCCTTGGTATTGGGTCCAGCTCTCATTAGTAACACAGCAAAAAAAAAATAAAAAAAAAAAAAAGAAAGAAAGGACGGAAAGGGCCTGTTACCTTATAATCAAAGCTGTGGCCATGGAAATGTGCTGTGTGAAGATCTACTTCGTTGCCCATTCCCATCAAATACCAGCTTACTTTATCCCCAACATGCATAACCAGACCATGCAAGTTCCCAAAAACTTTCCCATTAATGGCTAGAGAGAGAGAGAAAGAGAGAGAACAAACTAAAACAGTATTTTGAGTCATGTTATTCTCTAGACTTTAATAAATGCAAGAATTTGAAGCTGCTACTAGGCAAAAGAAACTGCTTTGAATGATCTATTAATATATTAAGTCAATTTTTTGTTTTATATATATATCTCTTTACCAAAAAAAAAGACAGCATATGATGAATGGGTCTGATTATATTTTGCATCTTTGGCTAGAAAGTAAGTAGTTAAAAGTGCTTTACCATAAACCATTGCTGATACCAGTGCTGTTCTCAAGCACCTGCATTACCCATGGCTCTCTGGGAAGGCTGAGCTTCTCCAGGATGTGCTTTCAGAGTTTCTAGCATTACATTAACTAACTAAATTGGGAAACATACCATGCATTTTATTACTTTCAAGGAATTCCTCATCTTCTTTGTCAACAAGGTGTGGGTTGCTAGAGTAGGTTTTAATATTTTCATCCAAGTACCATGACTCATTCTCATCAAAAACCATAAAAAGAAGAGCAAATTGAACTTTTTTTTTAATATGAAATGATGGCAGATAATGTCTATGACACACAACAAGTGTGCCTATTAATCCACTGTAAGTGTCCTGAAATTACAAATGAAAAAAAAAAAAATCAAATAATTACAAGATGTGACTAATATAAGCAGAAGTATTTTTAATAACAGCTACAAATGCTCTTATTTTTACATGCTTCAGTATCTGACAATAAGGTTACCGATACGTGCTACCCACAGAGCAAGTTCAATGGACCATGAAGAGTAACTACTTTTTTGTCACGTCTTGCTAGAGATAAACTTTTAGTCCGTTTTCATTTCTCACTCATCTCCTTTTTTGCTTCCACTTCCTTTTTAGATTTTTAGGATTTTTTTTAAGCTGGTTTCCACTCAAAATTGGTTTCACACTGTCAAAAGGAAAGCCCTCTTAGCGCTTTTCCATTCATTTTTGCAAGACATGAAGGGGGGGGGGGGGGCAGCATTAATTTGAATTAAAAAAAAAGAAAGTAAGGATGAAGGGTGCTCGTACAAAAATGGCATATTTGTGTTGCACAGTCGCTCATGTGAGTTTTCCCACACAATTGATTAGATATTGGGAAAGCTATAAAATGTTTGCTTAAAAAAAAAACGCCACTGACTGAGGTGATGTATACCAACAACAAAGGAACGAGGACCGTGACAGGGGAACGTGACTTCCTAATTCTGCCCTGACTTTCCTGCATTATTCAAGGGCCAGGTCAAACGCATGGTGATGGTGGGGGGGTGACCTGCCAGAGAAAGCACAGGGAGTTTCAAGCTCGTCTCCCTTCTATTGTAAGTATATCTGTGTCGAAGTCAGGAACTCAAAAACTCTTTAAACTAACTGCTGTTAATAAGGTACCTTGACGATGTCCACAGCTGAATGGTACGCCCAGGCGATGCAGCGTGGATCTCCTCTCCCAGAACTAGATCTCTCAGGAATTTTCCAGACATACGTTTTTGTTTCACCTGTATTAAGTAAATGGTGAATTTTTAAAAGTTTTGCTGTGTGCTGACCTGTAAGAGGTTGTCCTGAACCAGACGCTGTTTTCATTCACAGCTTGTTTTTGTCTTGACCTTCCTCTTCCCAAGTACTGCACTGGCTGGCGTCTTACCGTGATTTCCCCTCTGCAGATCGCTGACTCTTCCTGCCCGTGTTCCTCTGTGTGACTGCACCATCCAGTTTACCATATTTAATAAAAGTAAGTGTATCTTTTGTAACGATCACAGAATAACTTTTGAGAGAATAGATAATATATGCCATACTCTCCCTAGGTAGCCAAATCTGTTTTGCTTACATGAAAGGTGCAGCCAAGCTTTGCCAACAAATTACTGATCTGTCCAGGGCTACGATACGTAGCAATAATTAGCAGGGACATTTTAAGTGTAGAAATATCAATAATAAATAGCTTCGCAAAAATCTAAGGAGCTGAGGTAAACAAATATCTTTCATGCTCTCCTAACTTGAAAGCTTGCTAGATCTTATAAGGCCTGATGTTACCTGTTAGAATTAAGCAAACGGAGGTTTGATACCTGGGTTAGTTACAGCAACAACAGAAGCGTCTGTTTTCACTCCATGGGCATGTATAGAATAAGGTCGCGATGCCAAGTTCTTAAAAACTATTATGATTTTATCTCCAACATTTGACATAAGCAATGGCCCTATTGGATTGAAAAGACAGATTAAGTTGGTTTTGCAAATGATCAGAGCTGAAAGAGAGAGTTTGTTGTGTTCAGAGATACTCTAAAATGGGATATAATTATAATTAAACTGGAAACTAGGCGCAGACAATGTGCATTCACTATGATATGCAAACTCGAGTAGCTGAAGTTAGGCATCTAAACAGAGGCCTAATGTTCAAAAGCTCTGAGCACCTACTGCGTATTTAAAGTCAGCTTGGATGTGGCAGCATAATTTTATGCCAACTTTGAAAACAGTGACCTGTGATCAGGCACAAAACCAGAAATTTTTTCTTCTAAAGCAAGCACTGTAATAGGTAATACACAGTGATATGTAGGTAGCAATTCCGCATAGCTTTGGGCGCTTAGTGTGGGTAGAACCAGGCTCAGTATTACTAAAATAGCATCTGTTTTGTGTCGTTGCACTTTTCCCAGCTCTGAAACTGAGCTGCACGATGACGGTACCTTGGATTCCCAGATGCTGCTGCTCCTCAGCTCTGGTTTTGGGCGTACTGAATGTCTGATCAGTGTACTCACGATACACGACCTTTCTGTATTTTGAACCAATGAATTTGTCTTCCTTATTTAAAAAGGGATTGCCCGGGCTGTGAAAAATAGAAGATAGACATGAGACTACGTCAGAACTTTCTTCATGTATTTTATAACCTCTTTTGCAGGTATATCAATTAACCATTGAACAAAAATCCAGCTCAGTGGAACAGTGATCATATAGACCTTTAGTATCTTCGGCACGAAAACATTTTTGTTAGGCTGGCAGGTCGCATAACCCACAAGGGAAAGAAATCAGTACAAAGAGACTGAACCTAGGTAGTATTTGAGGGAAGGCTGAACACTGCAGCTGGCAGATACTTAAAATGACGAGAAGTCGTCCAGCTACTTGTATTCTGAAAAGTAAAGCCCTCCGTGACTTTTGTGGACCTGCAGTGCAACCTAGAAGTTGCAAAGGCCTGCTTAGGTACCTTTCTGAATTGAAACACGAGAGGCTGACTCTCTGCTGGGATCATGGGGACTGGAGACAGTTAAAAATAATCTGATAACATCACAGTCCATATTGCTTGTGTTTGGGACTGTGAAAGAGCCAACTGTGCAGGGCAAGAAAAGGTGCTATCAGGATGAGAAGAACAGTATAAAATATGAGAACATATCTAAGCCGATAAACAAATATAGACGGGTACAATCTACTTTAACCACAAACGAAGTTATATAGGTAGTTGTAGCGCACACAAATTCATCAGTTCCTTATTTAGGCCCTCTATCTAACAGATATGAATTGTTTGATCCAGTCAGTTCCCACTGATTGATTGGGATCCAAATGCTGGGAATAATGCACCAAGGCTAAGGCTTTATTTAAACACGACCAGATTTTGTCATAGAGTAACATCTTATCTTGTGCAAGATAAAGAAATGAGGGGAGTAAAAAGGAGAAAACTGCTGCATGGCTGCTCAAGAACGCTACTCAGAGTTCAGATAGACAAGAGACGAACGCACGTTACCTACTGTAAGTAAGTAATCCACTATCAGGACAAGGAAGTCATCATAGCTACAACTTAAGGAACATTTTTCCATATCAAGGCCTGTACCAACACCAGTAAATAATAAATATGCATGCAACATCCAGAATCCATTAAACTCTGCAAGTGCCCCGCAGAAGATTTGTGCTGGACCGTTTCACAAACATGATGCTGTCTGGCTCACAGTTAGGTGGCAACATTACTGGGGAAGGACCGCAAAGTCAAGCGAGCCCTGAAAATACCTACGCAAAGACAATGCGCCTCGAAACGCCTGGATTGCTGGGACGAAAAGAGAAGTTCAGAGAAGTGAGTTGTTCTTTGCTTTTTGCATTTTTTTTTTTCTCATCTTCTGTACGTCCCACATTATCTTACCTTTCTTCATGAAACTGATGCCGCTCAAATTCCCACGTCCTGTTAGGAGAGTAGTCCCATTCCACTTCCACTGCAGCAATGTAGTAAGTTTTTGTATGCAAATACAGCGATGGGTCCACATTCCACCAGTGGCATTGTTTCACTTTGTATTTCTGTTTCATGCCCCCTGTGTAGTGATCCGTTGTCAGGCACGACACTTCAAAAACGCCTAGAAGTTACACAAGAAATAAAGCGAAGCCAAAAATCGGTTAGGACTAGCTCTTGAAACTCTATTACCTGTGTTGATTTAGAGTTCAGAGCCTGAGATACAAGCTATTGCTCACATAAGATGGCAATTCTTTGCAAAACGTGGCTATTGGGGATAATCAGCACATACACAGGAGCTAGCAAAAGCAAGGCCTTGGCATTAAGAGTTTACTTCCTAGGAGCACGTTTGCTGCTTTTCAAATATAGCTTTACACCGTGCTAGCACCCAAAGGCTCAAAACATCAGCTATTTAAAGCTTGGCTCCAAGCATAAAATGGTCATAAGTAAACAGTTTCTAAAAGAGGAAACAGGACTTTTCCAAGCACTAAAACATTAAAAAAATCTGCTATTATTAAATCAATCCTGCTGATGCAAAAAACTGAAAGATAACGTGAAAACAACATATAAATAGAAGGAAGCAATGCTAACACAGCATTACACTAGGTAAGACAAGATGATAAACCCATAACATATAACAACAATCTACTTTTTTTACTCCTCTCAGTCATTTCGTTCAAAATATTTCGTAATATCCTAAAGTAGCACTTCTCACCTAGTTTCTTTCAGAAATCGCTTGATAGTATAAATCGTCAGACCTGTCTCTTGTTAGCCACGGTGTTTTACCTAAGTGGGCCAGACTCTCACCGGTGTGGAAATGAGGAAGGATGAAATGAGAGTCTTCTGTCCCTTGTTCCACCTGCAAAATTTGGTGCACGAGGCGGCGCTGAGACCAGCGTCCAGCAAGCAGGCACGGCAGCGGGGAGGCAGCAGAGCAGCTGCCCCCGACGTGTGGCGAGGCCCAGCGGGAGACATGGCCCCGCTGGTCTGGCAGCACAGCTACACAAGCCCTTCAAAGGCCTTTGGGTAAAGATGCCCTAAAAGGTGTGTTTTGGGGACCACTGGAAATGCAATGTCAGAGGCAGATGAGCCTCGGCTCGCAGCACGAGCGTCGGCTGGGCAGCGGCCAGCAGCAACTTCTAAGCAACTCGGAGGCAGTGCTGCGGTGAGTTTCTCTACCTAGAGGTTACTGCTGCGTGCAGGATGCAGGCCAAAAAGCAACCATGACATTTACCTTCATAGTCAGGCTTCATAACAGCTGTAAGAAAAGAATGTGGAAACAGATTTGCTGTATCCCGTCTTGTTCCTTTAGTTAGGAATGTGTTTTCTGAAAAATATATCCCATGGATATCGACTTCTGACCCCATGCCCATCAAATGCCAGGAAACCACATTTCCTTTACACATCTCAAGGCCAGGTTGATTTCCGTACATATAACCGTTAATGGCTGTAGAAGATTTGAGGAAGCAAAGTTTGGTTAACACACGTAACATATTCTGCATTACATAGTAGGTAAGAGACACTTGAGATGTAACGTGATGCCTTAGTCTGACAGAAGTAGCAGTAGTGTAATACTTTATTACGTTAGCAAAACTGCAAAACCGATTTGAGCAAAGCAACTTTTAAAACCCAGTGTTTAAAAGTAATCTGGTAAAATTCTACCCTGAATATTCCTGAAAGTATTCTGAAATGAAAAAACAAACGGCAACGTCCTCTGAACCGTTCTCCTGCTCAGCATCTGAGGCAGGCGGTGGTGGCTCGGCCAACCAGCATCGGCTCGGCTGTGCAGTCTGCCAGTACCACGCAGCAAAGCCAACCCACAGCGGCTTTTAGTTGGCGTTAATAGTTCTCACTAGCCTCTCTTGTGCAAGCCTGTCAAAGCCTGGACCTCACAAGTACCACCGAACGCTCGCTCTCAAGGCCCTGGAAAATAGCAGCAATGTCACTGAGGGCAAAAATTTAAGAAAGAGCACAAGCAAATATGTTTAAAGACTGGGAAATATTTGCTAGACTAGGGGCCGGTGATAAAGCTGTTCGTTCACACGAAACTTGCACAAATTTGATGCAGTAGCAAGCTATGGCTGTGATCCGTAAGGAATTCAGCCGAGCCCGGGTAAAGAAGCAAAGATTTGCACTGTAAGGCGACGGCAGCGCTGTTAAAGGAACCCAGAACCCACAGGGACAAAACCCTCCCTTCAGCCACATCCTCTGCAGCGCAGAGGTTGGGTTTCTCTTGCTCCCAGATGCGTTCGGAGGGACTGCGCGCGGGCCGCAGACCTCCTTCAAGGGGGACGCGGCGGTGCTAGCGCTTGGCTGCCACGCAGGACGCTGAGCAGCTGGCATTACGTTTTGAACTGATGACCACATTGAGCTGAAAGCGAACGGCATTCAGATGTGCTTTTCGTGCTAACGGAAAGGGACGAGTCTCTGCCGCTACACAATCTCTTCCTCTATACCATAGGGTGGCAGCAGTAAAAGCTTACTCCATAAACGAAGCCTCTGGCTAGCTAACCATAACAAATGAATTTCTTACAGTGCATTTTGTTAGACTCCTGGAAATCCTCATCATCTTTGGCAATTTTGTTAGGATTGAGTGTGAACATCAAAATATTGTCATCCAAGTACCAGCTGAGATTCTCATCAAATACTGTGGCAAGTAGAAAAAACTCCCTGTTCACATTTTTCTGTTGAGAAGACATAGCACAAAAGACAACAGAAATGACTGAACTGAACACGACAAGGAAGAACTTCTATGCATATAAGAATTCAAGAGTATAATTTACAAACTAGGACAGACGTGTACACTGGCGCTGCGTCATTCAGATACCCGCAAAGCTCTCTAATTGCTGTAACCGGTGGAACAGCATCTACTGCTAATATTCCTTCTACTGGGGGAAACCACCTCCAGGAATGAATGAGTACTTTGGTCTTTAAAGCCCCTACGTTTTTCGAGTCACTCTCATCCTGGCTGAGACTTGGATGCCAGCGATTGCTCCCTGCAGTGGTGGTTTCACAAGACGGTGTCTGTCTATCTGGAACCTGATGATTTTTCTTCCCTTTTTTTCCCCCTTCCCTCCACCTCTTCTTTTTTTTTTTTTTTTTTAAACTTTTTAAATGTTGTGTATTACCCTCAGCACACGTGTGAGACAGCGATCTGGCGAGGCGGTGGTGCTGATGATCATTAAAGTGGCGGGCTCTCAGGGCACAGTTCAGAAAAGAGAAAGCAGACTGAGTTACGATGGTGTAAACGCCTCCATTTTTCTCTTTGACTAACCTGTTTCCCAGAAGGGAGTAGAGCTCCTTTCCTGCACACCAAGAGAGGACCCACAAGGCCAGAACTGGTGTCTCTGACCGCATCCACAGCTGAATAGTAAAGCCAGGTTAAGCAGTCTGGATCTTGGTCTGTAGGGCCCACATGGTCTGGCACGTTCCACTCATATGTAAACGTGGCGCCAGGAGTCACATGAGAGGCTGGAGATTCAGTACCTATTACAAAAATCAACATTAAGACCAACAAACATTGTTTATTTTCTCCCATTACATCAGCATGTACTCTGGCATGTTCACCAGGGCTTGCAAGGTCCCTGCCTGCTCACACACCTCCGGAGACGGCACCGTACCATGCCCCCTCGTTGCTCTTGCGGTAACTCACACCATGGGGCTGAATGCTAAATGGGCGGCTGGCGTTGTTTCGGAAAGTCACCCTGATGCTCTCACCCACTTCTGCCTTAATAACAGGTCCTAGAAAAGAGCACAGAGTCTAACAACAGGGTGTTTCAGTCAAATGACGTACAGGCAAAGAGGAGCTCCTGGTAATGGCTGGTGGCTTTTCCCGCACTGCCGCTGAGCCTGCACGGCCGCGGTGCGGGTCTCTGCCCACCCTCACGGTACCCCCGCAGCATCCCGACTGCCCGCTCCTCATGGAGGCCCCGGGAGACGGAAGACAGCTCCTCCCTTTGGAAAGGGACCTGTGGTGTCAACCTTGAACTCATCCCAGCGCAGCAGCAGGGGCAGCCAAGCTGTAAACGGGAGCAGCGCTGCAACAAGATGCTCCCCAGCCTCGCGATGCAGTCACAGCACCCGGAGACTGTGGCATGTTCCTGCAGGGGAGATGCAGGCGTGGGCTGCCACAGCACCACTTCCCAGGGCTTTGCTTGCACCGCCGGCATCTCTCTGAGGAGGCTGCGGTTGCCAGCGTCTGCAGGAGGCGTGGCCAGCTGCTGGAAATGGCTCATAAATCTTTGACGTGAAATCATTTTAAATATCTTACCTAAGAGTCCAAGATGTACATCCTCCGGGAGCCTCTCTTTATGTTCTGTGAAGGTATGATCTGTGTATTCCTTGTAAACGGCTTTTTTATAAGACCCACCAATTCTTGTTTCACTTTGTTCAAAAAATATTTGAGATTCACTGTGTGAAAGAAATATTATAATAGAAGCAAAGATTTCAAGGCATAATGCCAAGCTTTACAACGGCAGTAAGGACCTCATCCTTATTTTCTGAAGTATCACATGTTAAGATGATCTTTTGAGCCTCCACTCAGTGGTATGGCCTCATGCTTATATGCAGTCCCACGTAAGGATGCGCAGAAATCCCTTATGTTTCACTATTTCATCTTTGAGAGAGAAATATCCTGCTGCGTTGCTCTTATAGACCCCCCACAGCGCTTGGAGACTCACCAACAATGGTTTCTGTTCAATGCTTTGTAACCCTAATTCTGCACTTCTGAAATGTATTTTTATTAAAAGTTACAAATAATCCAAGTACAGTAGATACAAACACCAAGAACGAGCAACATTTAAATAGAGTGAAAGCATGAAGATTTAGTCTACACTTTCTACTGTATCTTCAAAAAAAGACCTTTCCACATTTCACAAGCGCTACTCAGATAATGAACTATGCCTCACCCCTTGTGGAACAGGTAAGTATCATTTAACTCAAATCACAGATGAAAAAAATTGAGGACTAGAGAGATCCAATGACTTGATCTGGGTTTTACTATCTAGACACAGAACAAAGGACAAAGCCACATTGTGCAACTGGGCTGCCTATTTCTACCATATTGCTTGCCTTACTTAGCATGTTTATATCAATTCTGCTTGGAAAGTAGAGCTTTTAAAATTAGAGGCGTTTACCTGTCAGCAATTAATTCCTGTCCTGTAAAATGGTTCATTGCAGATGGGCCATAATTCCAGATGATTTCTTCAGCGGCAATGAAGTACTGTCTTATCTTTGTGCTCTCATTATGATCTGTTGTGGATTTTCTACACTCTCTTACTTTAAAAAGGGCCTGCATACCGCCTAGAAAAAAAGAGGAGGTAGAAAAAAACTACGGAAAGGAAACTGCACTTTGCTCTCTCTTCCTTTGCTTCTAACAGGTCCTTCTCTTCCTCGGGGTACTCCCACGCCATTGATGGACACACACATCACAGACAAAAAGGAAGAGAAACAGTATGAAATAACGCACACCAGCTGAGCTAGTGTGTGTGCGCTCTATGACCATGGTATGTAAGGTAGGCAGCCGTGCGCGGTAAGGGGCACGCTGCTTATAAAGATATGACTGACACTGCAACTACAGAGGGGGTTGGGGCAGAGTGAAAACAGAGCACCGGCAGTCAGCGCTTCAGTCATGGCAAGACTGACCATCTTCCCACAGCAATCTGATCAGCGACTCACTTGTGAACCTCCTGGGTCTCTGCACCCAGAGGTGCAGAGAGAGAGGTCTGCTTGCTGGAGATACAACTAACGCACTAAAAAGAGCCCTTTTACAGCTATAGATTATGTCAGAATCCTATTTGTAGGATTTAAAAGTCTCATCCAGGGTGTTTCGGCCAAACCAGGATTCTGCTTGACATGACAGCTATCTCCAAACTTAGCTCCTCTGTGTAGCTGACTCTGTAAGTTAAACATACCTCTTTTCAAATCAGAACTTCCAAATCTTGGAGCACGATTTTGAAATCTCTGATCAGTCTTACTTTTATGACAAATGACTTCTCCAATTCAATTACAGGGAATTATAGATTATGGAAAAGCGTGGAATCAGCTTATACGCATTTCATATAGTTAACCCACCCTGGAAATGTAAGAAGATACAGGAAAGAGAAACGCAGCTCTTCTCTGCCTAGCAGCCAACACACTTTCCAGAGCGTGTCCTTGTCAGCACAAAAAGTTATTCTGTCTGTCCTGTGCCTAGTGCCCAAACACAGAATTAGCCCCAACTCTTTGGCTGGGAATCACAAAACTGGTTAGTTACTTCCAGGCAGAGCTAGTGTATATATCACGTTTTTGTTTGTCTAAAGCTGGGGCTTGCAAAAGTGCAGCCAATTGACAGTAACTTTCCATTACCGACAAGACTTGCCTTGATTTCAGCGGCTATGTCCTCGAGCCTATCTAATGCACTTCTAGACATTTCAAACACTGTTTTCTTAACAGGGGGAGAATAATGTCACCTGGCATGTAACTATGTCAGCGGCAGTGCTAATGTGACTCAGTACACTTTTAGCTCAAGCTAAAAAATTTCTGATTGTTGTAACTTGTTCTGTACCTTCAATATGGTCATTCACTTGGCAGCTCAACAGCCATTCCCCAGGACTCCTCGGTATCATGACAGCATCAATAAAGGTGGCTGGGAAGAGGTTGATAGTGTCGACGCGGTGATGCCTTTCTATTAAAGTCTGTCCATGAAAATAGGCTGCGTGGATATCAGCTTCATTACCCATGCCAAAAAGATGCCATTTTACCTTATCTTCCACACACATTGTGAGGTCTGGGAGGTATCCATACATGTACCCGTTGATTGCTGAAAGAGATGTTATTTATCACAGTTACCTTTACAGAGTTCAGGATCTTTTGTTCAGAACAGGGTGTCATGCAACCATTGCTCTATTCTTCCAGATGGAAATGGGCTCGAAAGGACAATCCACACCCTTTAAGCTGGGCCAATATCAGACACGCTTGATCTGTACAACTAACTGTACAGGCAGCAGTTCCTGCTTTGAGTCTGGAATCTGTGTCAGAGTAAAAGGTATCTATCTTCTTTGTTCACACTAACAGTAAAAACTGGTTTGCCAAATTGCAACATTAAAAACTAAAATAGCAAAACCCAGTTCCTGGGAAATTATACTGGCAAATAGATTTTTGGCCACTAGGAATTTTATATCGCAGTTCCAAAGGTTTGACCTTACAATCGTTGCCGACGTGCCAGATGATTGACAATGAGAGAAAATTAAAAAAAAGGCTGGCTATTGCTCCAATCCTGCTGCCTCTGAACCTGGCAGCAAAATATTAGTCGGTTTTGGCGAGGCCAACAACAGGCCTCTAAACCAACGTTTTTTTATTTAAGAGGAGCTTAATCTTCCAAGAAAGAGTCCTACTTAAAAAGAGAAATCTACAGTTCATCTTCAAAAGAGACAAGATGTCAAAATACTACTTCATTACACCAGTGACAAGCAACTTTAACATAAAGGTCTCTCACAGTGCATTTTATTGCTTTCCTGGAAGTCCTCATCATCTTTGTGAACGTTGGAAGGGTCAGAGCAGTATGTCCTGACATTATCCTCCAGATACCAACTGAGATTTTCATCCATCACAGAGAACATAAGGATAAATTCAGCATCAAAGTGTTTATCGCTGTTCTTACTCAGAGTACCTGAAAAAGAAAAGAACATATTCAAAGCCTTTGGTAACTAACTTTATCATTTCCTCAGTTTTAAGTGTAGTACCTTTAAGGCTGTTTACAGTTTATTCCATATTTTGTCATTGTTCTTAAGTGCAGGTGTATATGTAAAACATCCAGCTATGTTCAGAAAAACATAGTTTTGATTGATAGATGCTACAAAAAAAGTTTCGATAGCTGCTACAAAATAGCTTTATTAAGAATAAATATTGTATGGTGCAGTAAACTTAATTTTGTTTTTCATACTGGTATTCATACATCCTTTTGCATTACTAAAATGAATACATTGCACTCATACGCATCTGTGGACAAAGCATTCTACAGATTATATCCAGCCCACACACAAAATCAAACTATATCTGATACTACAACATGGCAGCTAATTGAAAAGACAAAATGTTGCTATTCCAAAATAAACTGTAATCCTCTTCTCTTCCAGGAAATACTTCACTTATCCTTATCAATAACCACTGTGAATCATCTTGCATATTTATTTATTTGTTTTATGTATTATTTACTTGTTTTTACCTTTCCTGCAAATTATTAAAGGTCCAACAAGCCCTGAGGCAACATCTCTTGGAGCATCCACATGGGAGTGATAAACCCTGGTTATGCAATCTGCATCTCCGTCAGCTGGACCTTGATCTTCTGTCACATCCCATGTGTAAGTGTACTGGTCTCCAGGCTTCACAGCGTCATCTTTTTTTTGCAAGTCTTTGGTGTTGTCAGGATAAAAAGCACCTGAGGAATGCCACACAGCCAACGTTAGCACAACGCGTTCACGCTACAGTGTGAGAATGACAATCATCTAAAATAGAATTTGGGGAGCTTAGATGAAGGTGTTGTACCACCAGCACCACCAGCACATGTTTAGTTCTGGCCTTCATAAGAAGTAAATCGGCAGCTGTGCACCTGCCATGCTTCAAAGCTGACTACATGTTGCGATAACATTGACCGAACACCTGAACGCAGGGAAGAAATCGTTAAAATCAGATGAGTAGATCTTTCCCTTCTGTTTAAGAGCCTCTTCATTTGTCTTTGAATGCCATGGGAGTGCTTTTACTTTAATAGGATACCAAATTTGGTCCTTATGAGGAGGGCATCATGTACTTCTACTAAAAAGATAACAAATCAAATATTTGTAAAACATTTGTTAAATATTAATCTTGGAATCTGGTCTAAAACATTGCGTATAGCCCCAGGTAATTTAGGTGTCTCTGGAATGAGAGCAATAGAAATGGAAAGATGCAAATATTGCTCCACGAAGTACATCTGTTACTCCATAACACACTGGTCTGCTCCTGCAGAATATGCCCATATCCAGCCACATACTGGATGTAATGAAAGCCTCACAGAATACAAGAAACTTAGGCTGATATTTCATATATTCTTTTGAATTAAATATTTTTAAAGACTGCATTCTCTAACAATTCTCACACTATTTTTAAGGGCCACTTATGCAACTTTCTATGGCCATATTCTGGTGCTTCTTGCTTGCAGTTAATAGCATAGAAACGAACAAAACAAAGAGTCAGAGAGAGAGTTGGCAGGCTAGAGCCTAATTGCTGGATTTCATCACAGCACGTTGCATTTTGTAGTTTTCAAAGAGGAGATGAGAATTATCATTGTATTTCCTTAGGATCACAGAATCACAGGATGGTTGAGGTTGGCAGGGACCTCTGGAGAACATCTAGTCCAACCCCCCTGCTCAAGCCAGGGTCACCTAGAGCACATTGCCCAGGATTGTGTCCAGACGGCTTTTGAATATCTCCAGCGAAGGAGACTCCGCTACCTCTCTGGGCAACCTGTGCCAGTGCTCAGGTAAAGAAGTTTTCCCTCATGTTCAGATAGATCTTCCTGTGTTTCAGTTTGTGCCTGTTGCCTCTCCTCCTGTCGCTGGGCACCACAGAGAAGAGTCTGGCCCCATCCTCTTGACACCCCCCCCAACCCCCTTCAGATACTTGTACACGTCAATCAGATCCCCTCTCGGTCTTCTCTTCTCCAGGCTGAATAGTCCCAGCTCGCTCAGCCTCTCCTCATAGGAGAGATGCCCCAGTGGGCAGGATCGCCGCCCTCGACCTGCTGGCAGTGCCCTGCCTAATGCAGCCCAGGGTACCACTGGCCTTCTTGGCCACAAGGGCACATTGCTGCCTCATGCTCAACTTGTTGTCCACCAGGACTGCCAGGTCCTTCTCTGCAGAGCTGCTTTCCAGCAGGTCAGCCCCCAGCCCGCCCTGGTGCGTGGGGTTATTGCTCCCCAGGTGCAGGACCCTGCACTTGCCTTTGTTGAACTCCATGCGGTTCCTCTCTGCCCAACTCCCCAGCCTGTTGAGGTCCCTCTGACTGGCAGCACAGCCCCTGGGTGTGTCAGCCACTCCTCCCAGTTTTGTGTCATCAGCAAACTTGCTGAAGGTGCCCTCTAGCCCTTCATCCAAGTCACTGACGAACAACTTAAACAAGACTGGACGTAGAATTGACCCGTGAGGGACACCACGAGCTACAGGCCTCCAACTAGACTCTGTGCCACTGACCACAACCCTCTGAGCTCTGCCATTCAGAGGATGGACGTGATGCTATCTCTGACAGATGATGTGCGTGTCCATGGATTGCTGTACTTATGAAAGATGCTACAGAAACAGTTGACCAGCATTGGAAATGGCCGGGGAGAATTCTGTGATTTTTCCACCTGGACATCTGCCAGGAATCCACTGATTTCAGTGAAACCGTGGCAATGCTCCACAGCCTGAAAATCCCCCACTACCTGAGTGTGGTAAGAAAGGCCATCGCAATGGCAAACCATCACTGATCCCAGTGGTGCCACTACCGCTCATCTTACAGTGTGTCAGACTTCTATCCCGTTAATTTATTTACCAAGCAGCAGCTGCTTCTCCATTATAAGGAATTCATGTGCATCTCATACATACATAAATACAAGTTTACTGTTAAGAATTTTGAACCACAGGTTATCACTGTTAACAATATTTTCTTCAGCATAGCATCAGCTTTTCCTTCAGATACCCTGAAAACCTGCATCTCTCGTATTGCCTTTATCTCAGGTGAAATGTTGAAAAGGGACTTCTTTATGAATTCCACTTTTGGCTTTGTATTTTGGCTTTTCCAAAACACCCAAGTTCTTAACCAGCTCCTACTTTAAGCTCATCGTGTCTTGTTTTAAATCTGTCTGCCGAGCAGACTTCTCCTTGGTGAGAGACTGCCGCCGACATCCGGACGAACGGTTAACTGCTGATAAATTCTGACACTTACCTTCATTTTCCTTGGTATATTTAACACCGTGAGGGTGCAGTGTGTAGCTTCTGGACGCGAAGTTTCGCAAGTGAATGACAATGGAATCCCCAACTTCTCCCTTAACGATCGGGCCTAAAAAACCCAGCCAGGAAGGTTTCTCAACGATCACGTCATACAAATTATTGGTGTACTGAGTATAGACGGCCTTCTTATAAACGCTTCCTATCCTATGCGGTCCTCTTTTGAGAAAGACTTCCGCCTGCCTGTGGAGAAAACACAACCCGCATTTGTAGTGTCAGATATTCATTTTGTATTTGAATAGTGTTAATTAGTGGGGTCCTGAATAAAGACCAGGCCTCTGCAGCGCTGTGCACAACTGTAGCTGCGGTTAGGAGCAAACATGCCTCACGCTACAGACTTAGCCATGCAGACAGAGGCTGAATATTACACAACCACCTGGATTTTTTTTCTGAATATTTGTAGAACGAAGAGAGTAGTATTTTATACAATTTTTGGCTGCCCATGTGAACAGGACAAATAATAGGCACTAAAAGCTCTTTTTTCAGAATAAATTTGTCTTGAATCTTAAGACGAAGAAGGCTATCTCAGCCTGAGGTACAGTTTGGCTAGGCAGAAAAACGGTTGTGTCTTCGAATGGTACCTGCTGATCCCTTATAAGAGCAGGTATGCATTTCTTTTTTTTCAGGTCTTCTTGCTCAAGCCCTTGCACGTTTGAAACGCCGTACCGTTTCCCACAGCCTGTTCAAACCACTCATTTCCATGATCGACCTATCACGTTGGCTAAATCGCCCTTTGCAAGGAGGAGCAGACTTTTCAGCTCTGAAGTACGCACCTGGCTATTAGAGACGG